TATACACTGTCTACATCACTTACGATGAATACTTCTCGAAACCCCTGGGACTTCGACCTGCCAGGGCAAAAGTACGACTGGTGCTACTAGACTTGTTCTTTGTGGTGTTCCAGTCTGCCAATCTTGCCCTGAGTTTCGAATCTCTGACAGTGGACGAAGGGGCTTGTAAGGCTCCCACACAGCCAACGACAGCTGGCAGGTTTGATAAAGTCTGCGACAGGGCCGAGTCATTGAGCTCGGTGTTGTTGGTGTCACTCACTGCGTGGCTGCTAACATTCTCTGTCAGCGTATTGAGGTAAGCCTTGTCCCATCATTCGTTACGGCCTCTGCTAATGTGCATGAATTCCAGGCTGGTCGAACGGATCGACACGAAGTGAAACGAATAATGACTTGAACGCTCAATAAAATAGCATCATTTCTGTACACAGTCGGATCCCCCTCAGACGGGAATCACATCACAGCGCTAGCCTTGCTTGCACATGTACTCTATTCTGGTATTTTGTAGTATCACTGCCAGTGGGCCATCACACGGAGAGGCTCGGCCCGTCGTCACCATAGACGGGGTCGCGCTTGAACCAACCCAGGGTCTCGATTTGCTTGACCTGCTGCTCCTCGCCAGCCTTACCATAACACATATCCCAGGTCTTCTCTCTCGGGTATGAGCCCACCATCTGAAAGCCGCCATAGTCCTCCAGCAACCGATGGCCTACACCAGCCGGAACTATTACCACGTCACCCTGGCTCAGCACAGGTTCCACGCGCCCTTCGTTTTCTTCTCCCCCAAAGCAACATTTGGCCGATCCGGCGACAACGCTGAGTACTTCATGGGTGTTTGAGTGGAAGTGCGTTTCGCGAAACATGGTGTAAGTCCATTGTGGAGATACTACGCCGATAGATCTCAGATGAGATTCGACTGAAGAAGGAGCGGAGTTTGAGAAGACGCCGTGATAGATCATGAGTGGTTTGCGCTGGATCGACGTGTTTGGTATGCGCTGATAGGCAGGGATTTGGTGACTAGAGACGCGCAAAGCGCTCAAGGGAGCAACGGCCATGCTGATTGATAGAGGCGAAGGAAGCAAGATAGGGCGTTTTCTGCCGGTTGAAGAGCTACCACCGCAGCTGCTTGTGTCAATGCCAGCGCCAAGAGTTGTTAATTTAATCAACAACCTACTCCGTACAGAATTGTCCTTTTGCTCAAGCCGTGAACTTCAGACCACCTCATACTCAGGTGTGCACAATTGAGTTTGGACAATAGACGATGACGTAACTGTCAGAATTGTGCTTTTTCTCAGTCCGAAGTTTACCCGGTCACCTGCGTCCATCTCATTTAGTCATCCGCCATGGGAACAACGATAATCCGGCTCGCAGGGGCGAACGCAGGCAGTGACACTCGGGCTCTGGTTCACTCTCAACTGACCATTTGTCGAGACAGTGTGTTGTGCCTGCTTGTGAGCAAGGCAAAGATCCTCTTTCTTTTCCCTCACCACCGTGGACCTGTACACAGTAGGTGAATGAAGGAGGCCCGTGCGCTGTTGCAGTGACTCAAGTGCAAGGCAGCTGTTCACTACTTCGTCCTCATTCCCTCTGTCACCAGGACCTGACGGACCGATCTGACACCGGGCACTGGTACAAGTGACCAAGAGACATCCTGCAACAGAGAGGTTGATCAGCCCGGGCAAGCTGGCTCTCAGTACCGATCTACCTGTCCGTCACTCCCATTTCATCGCTCTCTGCAGCCCTCGAACACTCCACAGAGATGGCTCCCGCCACGGCCACCAACCCGGCCATGAGGGCACGGGACGATCTGGACTCAACGTAAGAGGCAAGCGAGAAGATGGATCTGTCCTTTGGCTTACAAACATCAGGTGGACTTATCTCGAGAAAAACGTCAACAATGTCATGACCAAATTGCAGGAAGGTCTGGACATGAAGACTTACATGTACGCGCTGCCCACTTCTTTCGTCTTTTCGGCGACACTAATCTAGCTTGATATAGGGGCGTTTACACTGCAGTCCACAATTTTTGTACCTCGCAGAAAGCCGCAACGAGCCAGCAAGGTGCTTCACAAGCGGCTCTTAGCCAGAGTCACCGCGGCGCTCATCTCCTGGGTGAAGAACTGTACCAGCTGCTGGGTCAGTACCTCACAGAACACCTCAAAGGCGTCCTAGTCGCGTCCGAGTCACACTCCGATGAAGCCCTGCTCACCTTCTACATCCGCGAGTGGAAGCGATACACCGATGCCGCAAAGTACAACAACCATCTCTTCCGATATCTGAATCGACACTGGGTCAAACGAGAGATCGACGAAGGCAAGAAGAACGTTTACGATGTCTACACACTGCATCTGGTCAAGTGGAAGGATGATTTTTTCAAGGCTGTCGAGACGAAAGTTATGGACGCTGTTCTGCGGCTTGTCGAGAAGCAGCGCAACGGCGAGACCATCGACCAGATGCAAATCAAGGCTATCGTCGACTCTTTCGTCTCGCTCGGCTTGGACGAGCTCGACAGCACCAAGTCGACCCTCGATGTCTACCGCCAGTATTTTGAACGTCCCTTCATTGCCGCCACAAAAGACTACTACACCAACGAGTCCCGGCGGTTCGTAGCAGAGAACAGTGTCGTCGAGTACATGAAGAAGGCCGAAGCACGGCTCGAGGAAGAGAAGGAACGTGTTGGTCTTTTCTTGCACCCGGACATCATGAAGAAACTCATGGAAACCTGCAACGAAGCCTTGATTAGTGCTCATTCAATTTTGCTGCGGGACGAGTTCCAGCTGCTGCTCGACAACGAACGCACCGAAGACCTCGCTCGGATGTACAAGCTCCTGTCTCGCATCAAAGATGGCTTGGAGCCTCTTAGAACCCGCTTCGAAGCACATGTCCGGAAAGCTGGACTTGCGGCCGTCGAGAAGGTCGCGGCGCAAGGTGATAACTTCGAGCCCAAGGTCTATGTGGACGCTTTGCTTGAGATCCACAGCAAATACCAGCAACTCGTCAACGTCGCCTTCAATGGAGAGTCGGAATTCGTGCGGTCGCTCGACAACGCTTGCCAGGAGTTCGTCAACCACAACCAAGTTTGCAAGACCAATTCTACACGATCACCGGAACTACTCGCCAAGTACGCCGATCAACTTCTCAAGAAGGGAGCCAAAGCCGCAGACGAGTCTGAGCTTGAAGAACTGCTTGTCCAGATTATGGTTGTCTTCAAGTACATTGAGGACAAGGATGTGTTCCAGAAGTTCTACTCTCGAATGTTGGCCAAACGCCTCGTTCACACCAGCTCAGTGTCCGATGACGCCGAAACGAGCATGATCAGTAAACTGAAAGAGGCATGCGGTTACGAATACACGAACAAGCTTCAGCGCATGTTCCAAGACGTCCAGATCTCCAAGGATCTCAATATTGCTTACAAAGACTTCAATGACAAGCTTGTGGAGGACAACCCAGATAGAAAGATTGTGGATTCCACCTTCCAGATTCTTGGCACAGGGTTTTGGCCCTTGAACGCACCGAACACACCATTCGCCCCTCCTGCCGAGATCAGCAAGGCCGTCGACTCGTTTTCCAAGTTCTACGATGGCAAGCACAACGGCCGCAAGTTGACATGGCTCTGGAACTTGTGCAAAGGAGAGATCCGTGCCAACTATATCAAGAGTCAGAAGGTCCCTTACACCTTTCAGGTGTCGACCTATCAGATGGCCATCTTGCTCCTGTTCAACGACGCCGACAAGATGGATTACACTGACATAAAAGAAATCACTAAGCTGACCGAGGAAACTATTGAACCTGCGATCAACATTCTGTGCAAGGCTCGTGTCTTGAATGCATCACCAGAAGATGGCAAAGCGGAGCCGGGTACCAGCTACTCCTTGAACTACAACTTCAAGAATAAGAAGGTCAAGATCAACCTGAATATCATCCCTAAGACAGAGCAAAAGGTCGAGTCTGAGGACACTCACAAGACTATTGAGGAGGATCGGAAACTATTGCTTCAGGCAAGATTCTACTTTTGTGGTTGCTGGACTTATTTACTGACCTGCTCTAGGCCGTTATTGTCCGGATCATGAAGGGCCGCAAGAAGCTCAAGCACGTCCACCTTGTCGAAGAAGTCATCACCCAAGTCCGAAATCGATTCCCACCCAAGATTTCCGATATCAAGAAGAACATCGATGCTTTGATGGAGAAAGACTACATTGAGCGACTTGACAATGACGAGTTGGCGTACATTGCATGAGCAACGCATGCCATTGATTTACGATACTTCGATTGCAGACATCCACCTTCCCCATGGCTTCTCAGTCTCTTAGAGCTTGGGCGCCTCGGGCTGATGTGGTGTCTTGCGCTGTGATAATCTTGCTTGGAATGCCTTACACAGTCAGAGTCTGACTGGACCTGGCGTGATTTGGGGTTCGAATGGCTTTTTAAAGGTGGCGAAAGCACAACGTTGTTCATCTGTTTCAGCATTGCGTGGTGGCGGAGCTGGATTTGCCTGGTTTCTCACGGACATATCCCGACGATCACGGTCTCGCTGGAGTGCTTTGATGCTGGGAAGCAAGATCATGGTGGTGGGAACTGAATATCCATGGGATGATTCACGAGAAATGCACAACTTCTAACGCACGTCAAGGGCAGATTGGCAAGGAGTTTGAACAGGCTTCGAGGCCAGCATGAGACGGGACAACTCAGCTAGTTAGTACCTTCTCACACGACAGTGAAGGTTATGCACGACCAGGAGCTGCGTCTTTAGAGCGGTCAAAATGTGAACTCGCTGAAGAGAACGAATCCCCATCGTATCCTAATTCTACCCGACGTGTTCTCGTAACAATTGAACCTAGCAGGGACCGTGTCGTTGACCCTCTGACTGCAAAGATGAAGTAGCAGACCAGTAAAACAACAGCACCGAGTTCCTATCCTCGAAGCTCATTGCTAATCCACGTCGGGGCAACAGTCCAGCACAACGTAGCCTCAATACATGAAGTCGGCCAAGTAGTCAAACCACCTCATGGCCCTTCGCTCCCTGCGCGCTCCCCTCCCTCCCCCCTCTCCTCTACTGCCCCGTCCTCAACCCGCTTCCGTCCAACGAACCACCAACAAGGGCTGAAAATGCCAGCCTCGCCCGCGTCAGCCACCGAGTCGACACACACGGCCATGGTCTGCATCGCCTGCATGACGCCCTCGTCCACCAGCCCGACCCTCTCCCCGAAATACACGTACCAGTAGCAGAGCCGGCGCGTCAGCCGCGACATTTTAAAGCACGTCCACCAGTCTGTCCACGTCGTGGCGAGGTCGTGTCGTCCGCGCAGGGGGAACGTCCACGGCCGGTACATCGTGCGCGGGGCGAGGAGGGCGTCAGGCAGAGGAAGGGGCACGGAGGGTCCTGGCGCGCAAGCCATGCCTGATGCGAAGGGAATGAGGATCGAGGATGATGAGCCGGAACCGGCGTGAGGGCGGTCAAAATACACGGCGAAATCCTCGTCATGCTCAATGTCGAATCCGGCCGCGAGGAACTGGCGTCTCGCCTGCTCGCTCGTCTGCAGGTCGACGATGGCGTTGCCTCGCTCGATGCGGTTGCGCATGCGCACGTGCGCGACGTCCGAGCCGTCGTAGCGCGGCGTGAGCACCCACTCGCTGGACGCGAAGACGGCGCCCGGCTTGAGCACGCGGTTGGTCTCGGCGTACACGGCGGCCAAGGAGGCCGCGTGGCAGGTGGCTTCGATGGCGAAGGCGGCGTCGAAGCTGCGGTCCGCAAAGGGCATGGCGACGAAGTCTCCCCGCAGGAACGTGCATCGGTGCGAAAGGCCCTCGAGCGCGGTCAGGTAGATCGCGCGGTCGACTTGGCCTTGGTTGATCGTCAGCCCGACGACCGTGCAGCCTGTGAGGCGGGCGATGGCGCGCGCGGGCGCCCCGATGCCGCATCCGACGTCGAGGACGAGCATGTCGGCGCGCAGGTTGGCGAGGTGCGCGAGCCGGTGTTCGCAGAACTGCATCGCCGTCGCGAGGGTGGAGTCGTGGGGCGGGTAGGTCGGTGGGAAGGGTGCGTAGTGGAAGTGTGTGGACCAGTTGGCTTCGTAGGCCGCGGTGGCGAAGGCATAGTATCTGCGGTGGAAGGTGTGTTGTGGTTAGTGGGTGGACACGCTCACGGAGATGGCTCTGAGGGAGAGGAAGGGGCTTGAAACTGCCCCGTCAGAGAGGCACAGAGTTCAAGGTGTTTTCGAGCGTCACAGTATCTTTCGTTTGTGGTTGTCTTCGAGGGTCGGGATCGTGGGTTGCTGGTCTGAATGGCATTGACCTGAGAAGCCGTATAGATACTCACGAGTCTGAGACTTGCGCAGCTTTCTGCTGTCTCGTCTTGCGGTCCTCCTCTGAGACGGGGTTTCGGTCGTCATCGTCGTCACGGCTGCCTTTGTAGTGCGAGGAGAATGTGCTGATGACTTTGGAAAAGTCTTTGATCTTCTTGGACTGGCCGCCGTAATCGCCCATCGTGCGTGATTTCCAGGCGTTAGCTGTGTTGACCTGAACGTTGGCAATCCCGACACAGCTGGAGTGCCGACATGACTTGATGTATGGGGTCCGCTGAACAAGGAATACATATCTCCTGTGAGTGGCAGGTGTGCTTGACGAGGCTGAGGAAGGGGGTTGATCTGTGCGTGACTGGCAGAAACGAAAGAATGTGACCCATTGTCTGCGAGAACAATACTAACTAACAGGGGATTAGATTCCTTGCCATCATAATATCGGCTCACCAGGTCATCGCATCGGCTGCCTGTGTTGTGCTGGATGAAGCTGAGCCCGCTGCTGCCACCTGGACTGAACAAAGTCATCCTTCGGACTGTCGAAGCAACACTTTAATGTCCCAGTCTTGGTACCCGAATGGTTCTCCGAGACGTCGTCTTTTCGGGCGTAACCTGCTTTTTGTGGGATGGCAGTAATCAAATCCGGCTCTCCTTGTGGCAGCAAAGGCTAGACGATCTGACCGGACCGGAAACTCCACGTTCGACAAGCACGCATCCTACCTCGACACTTAGTAGCGAACGCGATCGACCTGCAAGGGAGTCGCGGGTTTGGACCACATCGCCATTGTCACCGATGCGAAAATGGTGACGCCTCCAGCGCGCGTTCAAAGGCGTGGCATCGACTCCCTCACGGATTTCGTTGCACTCCAATATGGTAGCCTGTTGGCAACAGTCAGCGGTATACAGCTTGAATCAGGAACCGCAACCTAGGGAGGAAATTGATAAAGCGGCGAGCTTGCTGTGGAGGATGGTCTCTTGCAAGGACGGGATTATAAAACGCCTGTGCGAGGTTGTGTTGTTTTTCAAGGTTACCGTTCTGAAGCACGTTTGCTTGATAGACGTGGTACGACCGAGTTCTGTACTTGTCACGAGAGATTGCTCTTCTGCTAGATATACGTGCAGTGTCCTACAACTCGTTGGGTATGCAGCACATGAGAAAGAAGCTCGAAGCCAAGATCATGTCTAGGTAGTTCGCTAGAAACATGGGCTGATGGAGTGCAGTCTCGCAGAACCGACGGCGAATTGCTTGTCGTTGAGTTTCTGAGCAAGACTTAGTTTACAATACCTAATCATTCTCCTATCAGCTTATCTACCTAGGTAGAGCCATGCCATGCGATAGTGGTTCCAGAACACAGCGGTGAAAGGAGGTGAATAGGAGAGAGGCACGAGAGGATCGCGACAATGGACTCCGTATAATTACGGATATCTACTTCACCGTACCGGCTATACGCCAGAGCATAAACACCAGACGCGCCCCCGTTCATTCGCGGCTCCGCGTCGCGGGGTCCAAGTACGAGTACGCTCGTGCTCAAACTGTCACCTCCCACTCCTACCCAGAGCATCACCCGACGACCCAGGGTACCACAAGCAGGAACACCAAGTTCCTATCCGTGCACCGGCATCAAAAGCATGGAAGACGCCTCAATAACGTCGCTCAAGGCCGACTTCATCCGCACTCAGGTCCGCCAACTCGACATCCTCCTCGAACCATCCACGCGATGGCGCGATCTCCTGCCCGCACCCGCCGACGAAGGCCAGCTCAGCGACAAGACGATCGCCGACCTGGTCGGCAAAGTCAACGAGAAGATCCGGCAACATAACCGTCTGATCTTCTCGACCCAGTCCCAACGGCACGTCGCCGAGCAGATCGAATCGATACACTGGAACCTCGTCTCTGGCGACTTGCAGCGCGCGGAGGCCGATACTGTGGTTATACTCCGGGATGCAGAGTTGACGGACTCGCAGGTCATCCGCTCTTTGCCCCAGGAGTACGACAATCTATATCCCCACCCAGATCACGAAGAGCAGGAAGGCGAAGCAGAGAGGTACAACCGATTGCGCGAGGGATTGTTGGAATTGAGTCGGAAGAGAGACGCATTAAAGAGGAAGTCGGCGCAGTATCAAGAGCTAAAGAGGTTGTTGGAGCCATTGGACGAACCGCACAGGAATGTGCAGCCAAATCTGGTCACAAGGGACGGAGAATTGAGCCAGGAGCTGGACCGCATGAGGGTGTTGATGGCAAGAGTGACGGGACGAATCAACGGGACAAGCGATTCGAGGGTAGATGGGGAGGCTCTGCAGGAAGAAGCCCTGGCACCACGGACAGACCAGCAAAAGCTCGCACGCGTGATAGGGTCGGGGTGAAGGGATCACAGATCTTGTGCATTTTCCGTCGATACCACCAGCCCGCCTCTGGTGATACAGCCACTATCATGCGTCGACGCTCCATGCGAGTGAGGACCGGAACGCCGTGAAGATGCAGATTCGGATGCAGATGCCCCAAAACACGACTCATTCATCATCAGCTTCCTCCACGGTCGGGGCAATGTGCCGCTTGGCCGCTGTGGACGCACCACCTGCCTCGGCACCGGAAGTGACAGCTGCACCATTCGAAGGTGGGGGAAGAGCAACGACGGCCGGAGCAGTCTGGATCTTCTCACCACCAGCGGCAGCGGCCTCCGCGAGCTTCTTCTGCGCCTTTCGGGCCTTCTTCTCCTTCTTCTTCCTCTTGATGTCTTCTTTCGTCTCATGCCAGCCCCATAGCGGCCGGAAGCTGTCGAAGAAGCCGACATCCTCGAATAAATTGGGGTACAACCACAAACCCGGCGGGGCGAGGAAGAATGTTATGACGAAAAGAATGAGGCGGAAGATGGCCATAGCGAAAAAGAGCGCAATGAGCCCCATCAGACCGACTGAGAGATACCACACGCCGAGTCTTAGCTTCAACGGCCATAGAGGGAATAGAACCACAGCGAAGACTGCAATCAGGGCGAGGCCGGCCCACAATTTCGTCTTCCACTGTGATCCTTCAAATAGCCACACGTAGTGCATCATGGGGTCGAAATCTTGTTGTTGCTCAATCTTGACTTCCCAGAGTCCCTTGACGCGTTTCTCTTTCTTGGGTTTGGCGTGGTTGTGGCCCTCATGCGGGTCTTTCTTGGACACACGCAGGGCGAGCATGGACAAAGGAAGAAGCTGTAGCGCCTGGCGGGCTTCGACGTCGTTCTCGACCTTGGGTAGAAGAGGATTTTTCTTTTGCGCTTTCTTGTACGCATCGGATTGGAGGGCTCGGAAGGCTCGTTTGACTGGATGGTATGGTGGGTCAGCATCCCTGGAGGTCGAGGCGGATAAACGCAGTCTTACCTTTGAACATATCCTTTCTCTCGCCGTTGAAGATGCACGTCCTGGTCTTCAGGTCCTGGCCACGTAGAAACTTTGCGACCGCGAGCGCCTCGGGTTTCGCCTCGACGTTCGCATTCAGAGGGATATGTTGAACTTGCTGTCCCGGCGGGGGTCCTCCAGGCCGGGGCTGTTGCTGCTGCGTCTGGCCTTGTCCTTGTACCTGCTGCTGCTGTTGGGCCTGTTGCATCGCCTGCTGCTGCCGCATGAACTGTTGCCGGGCCTCTTCCTGCTTCATCTGGACGAACTGCTGCGGGGTCATGCCCGCTTTTGCGGCTTCGGTTTCGATCTGTTGGCGCTGGAATGCTTGGAACTGTGGAATGGTCATGCCTCGTTTCTGCGCTTCCATGGCGATCAGTTGTTGGATTTGCTGCTGGTTGAAGGGAGCGCCGCCGGGCGGGGGTCCGCCTGGTGAGGCCATGGTTGCGGGAATGTCAGAGCAAGAGAAGACGCAGTTGGGCGTACGGAGCGGGTGTATTGAGATGCCAGAAGGAGCAACGAGACACTGTCTCTGATGCCAGACACTAGCAGCGAAAGATGCGGCGTGAACGGCTGGGCTGGGTGGTGCGATTACGATTCACGAGAAGACACGGTTTGAGATGGACATCAGGGTCCAAAATTCTGGAGACACACTGGCATGTCCTGTGTGGCTTGTGTGGCTTTTGTGGCTCGCCGGCGCCACGATCTCTCAGCCTCGCATCAGTCGACCAAGCACGGCGAGGCGGGAGCGGCACGTGACTATAAGCCCTATCTTAAGTCGTGGCTGTGCAATGGCATCTCGCGTCCAAAGTGTCGTCGCCGCCTGTGGACGATCAAGCTCCGTCAACGGCATTAACATTGCGAGTGGCATCCTGCATCCCAAGTCAGTAACTCTAGACGCCGTCAAGTGCGGCCTGCCGACGTGCTAGCTGCGCAAAACGCGTCACTCGCCACCCTGTGTGCCGTTATATTCTCTGAGTGAGCACCATCAGGCGCATCTGCGCTTCCTCCGGTCCCCGAGGTCGGCCAGCTACACTTCCCAAGATGTCGAGATAGCATCCGCCAACGAGTTGAAGACATGACTTCGCTCGAGTACAAGCCTGATCCCGGCGCCACCCCAGATGACCACTGGGCCACCGTCTATCTGTCCATGCGCGATGCGTCGGGAGAGATACCCATCAACTACATAACCCATCCAGGTGTGCATGTTACGCAAGCATGCTTTGCCGATGGGGTGTACGACGATCTCCCGACGCAGACCTGTATTTCAAATCTGTTCGCCCGCCATTTCCGCCGACTAATCATCGATCTATACTGGGACAACATCAACCGCCAATTCAACCTCTGTCCTGTCGAATTACCTCCGCTGGTTGGCAACTCATCGGCTGGCTACAGCGTCGATACGTCTGCACTCTACTCGATCACAGAGTCCACATCGCTCAGTCCCACAACTCCGACCACCATAGTTGCGTCAAATGCAACAACATCTTTAGGAAACTCCCGTGACAAGCGCCAGTCTTCGGATCCGTCCTTGACCGCCTCAACATCATCGACAGATTCTTTGCCTGCTACGTCTGTGAACGCCACTGCGACGGTCAGTAGCAGTGCTGCCACCTCGACCACCGGTGTGGCAGTTCCCACTTCCACGGGTGCTTCTGGTAGCACGTTACTGGAGTTGGGTCCTTACGTGTGCAGCCTCGATCTTAACCTCGGCTCCATCATTTCTTTGTACGATGACTACTTTGACCACACATCAGATACCATCTCAGCACGACTACAGTTTCTGGATATCAATCTCCACGCTGCGGCACCTTTTACAGATCCTTCAGCTCCTGCCCATACGCCCATGTCCGGTCGACTCCCCAGTGGCGAGGATCTTGTAGGAGCTAAGTTTCGCAACAATTTTGCGAGGAACGTCTTCACACCGCAGGACCTGGAAGAGGATCGACAGAATCTCAATCGGTCCTGGTTTCGAGACAATTATCGAGTCAACACTGACACGGCATACTTTAGCACCGTAGCCACAGCCAAGGACCGCGTGCTTTCCACCCCGGACGGCTGGCCGGGTGAAGCTTGGGTCTTGCTCACCGACAGTCGGAGGCTTCTGGTGAGCTGGGGCCAGATTGATGCTCAAATGGCACAGTATGATTTCCTGACCGACTCAAGCAACGTCTTCAATGCAAGTGATCTGAACACAACTCCGGCAGTTGAATGGGACGCCCGCGGCGATATAACATCGGGCTGCTTCTACCACGAAGGGGAGAGCACTTTCGCCGCGACCAACGGGTCCTGGGCAGTGGCGGTCATCGATAACACAGACCCCAGCGCTCTTCCCACTCTCGCCCAGAACATGACAGCATGTGGCATCTCTCCGGTGCTTAACATGACCATTGGTGGCTCCAGCCCACTAAACAATATGTCATCCTATCGTGACTTTGTCCAATCGACCGTCTTTGGGTGGGCTCCGGGTGAGCCGGCAAACGCTTCCTCAATGAAGGAGAATGACGACTTGCGGTGCGCCGTACTGGACTCGACCGGTGGTTACCGAGGGCACTGGCGCGTCGAAACCTGCCAGAAATCACGCAGGGCTGCCTGTCGTATTGCTGGCCAACCATATGCGTGGCGGCTGTCCACGTTCAACGTCCCTTTTGGTGCTGCTCCCGATGCATGTCCAGAACATACCGAGTTTGATCTTCCAAGGACCGGGCTTGAGAACACATACCTGTATCATAAGGTGCTGAATGATACCTCTCGCGACTGTGATGATGATGATTGCGACGAGATCATGTCCGGGATCTGGATCAATTTCAACTCCCTCGACCAGCCTAATTGTTGGGTGATAGACGGTCCGAACGCGACCTGTCCATACTCGGACTTTCAAGAAGGACAGCAACAGCGACAGATCCTCATCCCTACCATCGCAGCCATTATCATCTTAATCTTGAGCGTTTTGACTCTGCTGGTCAAATGTAACCAGAATCGCAGGAATGGCCGGGCAAGGAGACGGGGAGAAAATGGATGGGAGTACGAGGGGATTCCTTCCTGAAGGATTTGTTCTCGCAATCTGCCACCGACCAGGATCATAACAAACTCGGCGTATAGATATGATGAATTTCCAAGCTGGCGCGGAGCGCTTCCTCATATAAAGGGTCAGGCTGGACGTGTTCCAGACCAGGCGTGAAGTCCCTGTGAGTCGGATCAACTCTGCTCCGACTGGCACATGTCGGCGACTTTTGACCAAGACACGATGGAGACGGCAGAACACGGCAGATCGACGATGACTCAGCACCAAGCACCAGCAAACCCCAGCAAGCACCCCACAGGAGGAGGCGTAGCCTTGCGCAACACCTTTAGTCAAGGCCGATCTAGATTTCAAACAGCAGCGAGCTCCCGGGCGCATGTCTCATGCGGAGGCTTTCGAGACTGTGGCAGCTGTCGACGATTCGACCGGTCGAAACGGGGTGGGGATTTCTAAGCTGACGCCAGGCATATAGCCGCCTGGATAGGAAATGACTTGTATATACAGAAAGGTATAAGAAAAGGGCACGTCTCCTAGAGATCGAGTGCTCAACCATTCGACCCCAATTGCACCATATCACATCATTTCTGTCCAAGGCCCTCCAGCCATCCGCAACCAGACACGAACTCACCTCCACATCCCGCATTGACTCTTCCAGATCAGCCCCACATCGTACACGGCATCGACGAGATATCGTCCTTCCAAGTCCGCCATCGTAAGCATCGAGCAGCAAATCGACACAGAGCAAGCCCACGTTCAAGATGGCCTCCACCACAAAAGTCGCCCTCGCCGGAGCAACAGGCAACATCGGCGTCCCCACGCTCAAAGCGCTGCTGGCAGCAAACCACGACGTCGTCGTACTCACGCGCAAGGGCTCCAACAGCGCGTCTAAACTCCCCCAGGCATCAAACCTCACGATCAAGGAAGTCGACTATAAATCCGTCGACGAGCTCACCTCGGCGCTCCAGGGCGTCAAGGTGGTGGTGTCCACCCTCGCCTCGGCCTCGATCGGCGAACAGAACCCTCTTATCGACGCCGCCGTCGCTGCGGGAGTCGAGAGGTTCCTCCCCTCCGAGTTCGGCTCCGACACAGTCAACCCGGTCACCTCGAAGATGCCGGTCTTCAAGTACAAGGTCGAGACGCAGGAGTACTTGAAGGAGAAAGCCGCGCAGAACCCGTCGTTCAGCTACACCCTCGTCATCACGGGCCCGTTCTTCGACTGGGGCCTCGAGCACGGCTTCATCCTCAACCCGAAGGGCCACTCTGGCACGCTGTGGAATGGCGGGGACGTGAACTTTTCGACCACGACGCTGGCGTCGATCGGCCAGGCCGTCGTTGGCGTCGTGGCCCATCTCGACGAGACCAAGAATCGCGCCGTCTATGTCCACGACGCGGTCACCACGCAGAACAAGCTGATCGCGTATGCCAAGGAGAAGGACGGCAAGGAGTGGGACACCACCGTGAAGAGCACCAAGGACGTGTACGACGAGAGTCTGAAGGAGTTGCAGAGCGGCGGAGACATTGGGAAGGCCATGGTGGGATTCATCCTCTCGGGCATCTTTGGTGGTAAGGAGACGGGCGGCAGCTTTGAGGGGAGAGACGACAACAAGTTGTTGGGCTTGAAGGGTTACTCCGAGCACGAGGTCAAGGCTCTGGTGCAGAGTTTCGTGTGAGTTCTCTTCCGTGCCGACAGGACGAGGAGTGGCAACGAAAGGAGGGCGCCGGAAGAAATGTGGCCAAAATTGAGCTATGGGCTGACTTTCAAACGCGCAACACAGAGACGGTCGTGCTGGGAAATTATAATCACGCATGTACGGAGTACAGTACGAGTAGATAGTGTAGCTCGGCTGACAAGACTGACACCGTTCGGGCGCTCGTTCAGGCCAGGTCAGGTCAGGTCAGATACGTATCTCGGTACTACGTCTTCACTTCGTTTCGCTTGGTTTCATGTATTTCATTTCGCCTTCAAAGACGGATAGTCGGCAACCTACAGTCTTAATCCTCAGGCTAAAGTCCACAACCGCCAACGCTGAGCTGACTGAGCTGAGATAACGGGACATTGTACGACCAGCAATGTACACACGGAGTACGGAGGACAGAGTACATCTGAGGTCAATGCCTACTAGTAACGTACTAAGTCATTACCACATTCACCTAACGCAATACCGCATACCTATGCAGGGGGATCGGGGAAGATGCATCAATCAAAGGCAGAGTCGCCAGCGCGAAGAGTCCACGATTGAAACAGCTCATACTGTATCTACGTTGTCGTTCGCTGTTAAAGGCTCCGTGGTCGTCATAGATTATTGAATGATTGATGCTTGATGCTTGATGCTTGATGCTTGATGCTTGATGCTTGATGCTTGATGCTTGATGCTTGATGCTTGATGCTTGATGCTTGATGCATGATGCTTGATATTTCCATTGATACTTCCATTGAGAAATGTACTTGACACTTCCACGACACTCCCTATCAAATCCACGTTTCCCCAACATCATCCACGAACGTAACGACCGCCCTTCCTGAGCTGGACCACATGCATCGGGATTGATCCTGTCTGATACTACTAGTATTGAGAGCGAGATCAAGATCAAGGTCAACGGCCTGATGCATATCCTGACGCCGAGACTGATTGCGGTGCTGATTACGATGCTGATTACGGTGTCGATCGCGATGCTGATTGCGATGCATTCTCCGCTCCTTCCTCCCGTCACCTGAGTCCAACTCCAACTCAGGGTACGACAGGCCGTCGTAGAAGATCGGGTATGATTGTTCGAATTGCAATCGCGAGGCTCGACTCGGCGCACAGGAGGCCCTTGCGCCGGCTTTAGAGGAGGTGATAGGAGGCGGAGTGGCAGCCAGAATTGGAGTCGGAGTAGGCGTATGTGCAGGTGTACATGAAGGTGTAGGTGTGGCAGACGATTTCGTACCAGACACGTTCGTGAAAGTCACGTCCGTGTCCGGCGTGCATGGTGTCCGTCTAGACGGTTCAGGTGGGGAGGGGTGGAGAGTCAATGTCAATGTCAATGTCGAGGTCGAGGTTGATGTGGTAGATGATGACGAAAATGAAGAAACAGGCTGCATGGCGGTGTTTTGGCGGTGCCGACCACGTTTGTCATTGATACTGCGGTGGCTGTGGCTGTGGCTCTGGCTGTGGTATAGATCCAAGATCTGGTCAATGGTATCGGTGAGGGAGTCGCGGGTCCCTTGGCTCTGGATCAATTTGTGTTCTGGTTCTAGTCCCGGTTCAGCTCCCGGTTCAGGTTCTTGTTCTCGTTCTCGTTCTCGTTCTGGTCCATCTGGAGTGGTGGTCGGTTCGTCCGGGAGAAGAGGTAGTGGCTTGTTTTTGTCGCTTGGTCGGTTTGTAGGCAAGTGAGAAGTGTTAGGGACTGGTTTTTGGGGCACACTGATATTGCTGCTGGTGCTGCTATTACTATTGGTATTGCTACGGTCATTGTTGTTGCTGCTGCTGTCGTGGCCATCGGTGCAGAGGATTGTGGACCATGAGGAGGAAGAATTGATCGATACTGGGATCAGTGATATTGTCTGTAGCTGTTGACTCCATGGCAGGACCTGAGCTGGAGAGTCGTACGAGAGAGATTTATCGTCCTTCGGGATGCCGGCGAGGGGGTTTGTGAGTGCCCGTGGTCGGCGTGGTGAGTGAAGATTTAGAGGTTGTGGAGTCAGGGATGGGATCTCAGGTTCGCACAACGCCATCGAGATCGGGACCGCTTTGTGCTGAACACTCCATTTTGAGGAACGTTGTGGAGCCACGTGGGACGTCGATGTCTGTTCACTCGTGGGACGAAGACCCTTGTTGTCACCGTGTTGCTGTAGAGTCGGGCCGGGAAAGTTCCTGACCTTGTCTTTGGCTTCATCGTCGCGCACTGCTGGGGACGAGGAATGAACCGCCGAAGGAGGTCTAACGGGGGACAGCCAATGCTGAACGGGCGAGAAAGGCAAAGTGGATGTCAATTTTGCCAATTCTGCTGGCGATATCGATCCGTCAAATGGCCACCGCGGAGCCATCTTCGTCTCAAGCTGCCCAGCCTCCACATATCTCTCATGTCGGTCGGAACGACGTTGTGCGTCTAGGCTGGCATCGCGCACAATCTCCGTCTCCGGCTCAAACGGGGTCATTTCGCCGGCAAGAAACCCATTGTCATTAATCACCGATGTAAGTCGAGAGGTCAACATTTGCTTGGCCTCCTCCTCGCCGTTGTCTTGACTGTAAACGCTTCGCTCCTCGTCTGTCTCGCGGAGAGTATTGCTGAACTGGTCTTCCATTCGCTGTTTGAGTATCACTTTGTCCCAGCCATCTTGATGGACTCGAGAAAAATCTCCGCTAGCTTTGTCCGGATCTAGCCCAGTAAGGGACTGACCGAGTGAAGTTCGGCATCCTACTCTCAAAGACGAAACCAGTCGGTGACCCGATGCTCCATCAGTTTTTGTGTCGCCACTGGTCGTCCCTTGCCACACCTCAGGTTTCGACTCGAGAAACACCCGAGTTTGGAAAGTATCTGGTCGCGGGGGAACAGGTGGACTGATCTTTTTCCGAGGTTTGTTGCTGTCCACTACAGATCGATTCGATGGCCACCATCGCAAGCCTGTTCTCGATTTAGGCTGTTCCCTGTCGAATACCGGAGAGCCCTGGTTCGGACTACTAGTACTCCGACCTTTGGTGGGTTGGAGTAAAGACCATGGCGATAACGTGGTCTTTCGTTTGAGATTTCCAGGCGGGCGAACAGTGGGATCAGTAACTTCGATGGTCGGTCTTCTGATGAGTGCTTCAGCCTCTGATAAGATGGTGCTCGCAAGGGAGAACCGCGTGCAAGGAGTATCGGCCTGGCTTTTGCGACCACTCGCTGACAGCAGCCAAGATGTCTGAGGGCTGGTCGGCTCTGATGAGGTCCAGCTGAGCTGACTTCGATGGTCGAGAGTTAGAGGAGACGCCATGGATCTGTATCAGGTGTGTAGCGATGTTGTCCGATGCAGAAACCCGTCGACGACATTTGGAATGATATATGACGCTCGGAATCGTTTGAGCAAACGAGCTGAGGTTGAGAATCAGTGAGGTCGCTGTGACTTCACGGCCTCCGGACACATCGTTCTGGAATTTCTAGACATGTGATAGAGTTTTGACACTTGCTTGGTTAGTGACACATGAGAGCGTGGGCTTGTCGGATTGAAGGCCTGCGATATAGCAGTGGAAACGGGCAGGAGCGGAACTCTGGTCCGGAGAACGCAGTGGTGTTTTGTCAAGATCCTCACGAACAAGCAGAGTGGTGAAAGGCGATCATCTGGTCCCATGCGTCGCTGGCGCACATGGCGTCCCTGGCTGATCGACCCGGGGCACCCACATGGTCAATAGAGGTTTTCTCATGACATACAAGGAGGACTGCTGTCACTGTCAGTGAAAGGAGGGATGGGAATAGGTGATAAGATTTCTAAAGGTCAGTATATGTGGTCAAGCAATGTTCTGATTTGTCTATCGCCCAGCTCTATACCTCTTCGATCACAACTTTGCTTTGATCCACGATTTGATGGCTTTTCCTTGCTCTGTCTCGGCAGTGTCGTTGAAACGCAAGTGGATGATGGGTGCAATATGTGCTTCGTTGCTTCCGATCACGTATGTGAGGTTGTCGGGATTTACAGACTTCAGATCACCGTCAGCGATTAATCCCGCAGCGTCTACACAACAGCAGAGAGAGAGAGAGAGAGAGAGAGAGAGAGAGAGAGAGAGCCCGACTTACCTTGTACTTCTCCACCCATTCGCTAATGCTGTCGAGCAAGATTTCGTTGGCGCCGGAAACGGCCAGGATTTGTTCGACCTTTGCGTCTTTCCACCATTCAGCCGGCGCAGTAAGCGGCTCCGCGTATGGCGTTGTCGGCTGCCCGGCGAGGTAGTCCTTGGACCACTTGCCCCCTGCGTACTGGGAAACAAGATCCTTGTACCGGTTCTTGACCTCGCTCGGCCAGTCTAAACGGAAACTAACCCAAGGTGCGACGGCCACGATGCCCTTGAGCTTCTCTCCTTCACCCAGTTTGAGTTCCGGGAAGTCAGGCGAAGGATGCATTATCTGGGAGAGAACTCCCAGGCACATGTTGCCGCCGGCAGAATCACCGGCGAGGATGATTTGAGAGGCTGGCCGCTTCATGTCTTCCATCACGTACTTGACTGCCTCTACGGCTTCGTACATTATCTTTGGATAGGTCGCATGCGGCACAAGTGTGTATTCGAGGAACAAAAACGCGATGGTGATGTCGCTAGCTTTGGCATCGTTTTGGACGCCATGCCAGAATTTCAGGTGAGTGTCGTCACCGTCGAGCGAAAAGCCGCCGCCTGTGCAAAGGTCAGTGGATGTGCCACGACTACAGCACAACGTTGCGCCCACCATGATAGTAGACGCAGATGTATTTGGCCGTCTGCGGATCGCCGACCCAGAACGCTTTGACTCCTGATTTCAGCGTCACGAAGTTGGGTTGCATGCCGGTGTCTTTGCACCACTTCTCATAGACTTTGGAGAAAGGAGCGCCGATGTATCTATGCGCATAAGCCGAGTCCTTGACCGGGGAGCTGAGGCCACTCACTGGAGCTGAAGGGTACTGAGCCGTTGCACCATCTAGCACCCGTCAGCAAGAATGAGCGGGCTTGGAGGCAGCTGTGGTCTACCTTCCGAATGGCCGCGAAGCCGATATGTTGTCCATATGTGTAGGCTCCCGACTCTCCACGGAACGGAGCTGTCGCCGCCGTGTACAACACGGTTCCCACTGCCAGTCATCAGGCTCGGAACACCCAGGCAGCGAGTCAGTCTTACCGATCGAGAGCAGTCCTGGGAACACATCCAGTTTCTCCAGGGACGAGACCTGGTGTATCGGGGTGGAAAGAGCCTGGTCGGCTGTTGGAGGTGCAGTCATATTGTCGGCTCGTGCTGGTGGCGATGAGGAAGTCAACCGTTGGTGCAGCCGTGGTGGAAAGATTATGATGGCAGCCTGAAAAGCTGGTCTGGTCACCGAGGTGTTTGAGAATCGTAGTCGGTGGATTTAGAGAGGTCGCCTCGAGAAATACTCGATTACTCAAGGATGACCGAGCTTAACAAATTCGAGGCTAACACCCAGTAGATGCTGGAGTACCAGGTATCGAGATGGAGGATGTCAGACGTCCAAGCCGAGTCAGCGTCTTCCGTCTTCCCGGGTGTATATGTACATCCTGCGTCGTACGGAGTAGATCATTGGTGCTGCTGGATGCCCTAAACAGGGGAGGGAAGCAGGCCTCGGGAGATTGGGTTAACAAGATGCCAGTGCTTGTCCCCCACGTGCTGACTCGCTGAAATGTAATTAACTACAGTACGGAGTACTAAGTCCGACAAAAGGACGTGTGGCTGTCTTCACTCAGAGCTCATTGCTTGAATGAGCCGAGGCAAATCCGGCTACTTTATTCCGTACTCGGTCCTCCGTACATACAGTACAGACTGTCTATCTCAAGCGAGCCTTACGTCGGACATACCCATGTGGTGGCCGAACGCTCTCTCCCGTCCATGGCCACGAGACTGAATACCTCTCGCAGAACTATGCATCAGCACAGTGGCGGTGCTCCTAGAAAATGCAGCACAAAGACGCCATGGATGCCTAGTCTGGCAATATTATTGCTAGTGCGACATGGCCTTCCATGAGCCTCACCGGGGAATCGCACGGCTGCCTCAGCTTTTGACGCAGTGAGTCTGTGTCACCTCACAAAGATATTCACTTTGTTTACTGTGTTGCGGTCTTGTTGCGTGACAAGGGTCCCTTGTGAGGTCGTGATGAGATGTGACCGCGCAATGAAGGTACCGCGCTGGGTGAAGAGTTAGCTGCGAACGCGACTTGATCCAGTGACATGGCTGCCAGGCAGCGCACCGCAGCACCGCAGCGTTCGTCCTTGAACCGCAATCGCCTTGTTCCTGACGGCAGACAACGACGGGAAACATACCTGATCAACCACAAACGTCCTCTTTGAAGCCACAGGCTGGAGGGCACAGCCGTCCATCAGTCGGTCACCTGGAGAACTACAGTGTATCGCAATCACGGCTGTTCATATCAAAGATGTCCTCATCTACGGATACCCCAGCCAACACGAGGGGCGACGCGAAATCGAGCAAAGAAGAAAACAAGCAGCCGCCCTCCGCCACTTGCACCCGGATTGTGGCCTGGGGAACCACCACCGGCAAATTATACCTCGACGATGCGCGCCTCGGCGACGCCAAGACGAGAAGCAACGTTTGGGAGCACCTCTTCGGGAAAGCTGGTGACAGGAACCAAGACCAGGACCATGGAGGGCAGTCGGCAACGGTAGCAGAGAGACCGCCGACCGGAAAAGACAAATAGGGGTGATAGATCGCGATGACTGAACAGAGCCGCTGTGAGCAAGTCGATCGATGCTATTAAATATCAAGGGCATGTACCGGTGCATCAACTCGATGTTGAACAACCTCTATGGAAACCGACTCGAGCACCGCTGGGCGTCAGAGAAAACATGAATCTGCAATGGCTCGAACTTCGTGTATGCTTCTTGCTACACCAAAAACGTTTCGTGGTTCGTGGTATTCGTCTCAATCCATGCTCACTGAGGAGCAACCTCGGCGGTCTTGATCGCATGCCTTATTTTATGCTAGCCCCAGTCTGTAGATAGGCACTCTACTGAACTACCTGTTGGTTGACAGCCTGAGCTTGCTCCACCGTCAAAGGCTTGCCTCCTAGTTCTGTCTCTCCGTTGTCAATGTTGTGATAGTCGAGGATTTCCGAGTACATCATGATCTTCCAGGTATCCACAGGGAGATCGGCATCGTTGAACGACCAGTCGAACTTTTCGTCCGCCACAGGCTCGTCTGTCGGGTCGTGGTAAGGCGAAAGATACTCGTGCTCCAAGGCTCCCGCTGCTGATGCCCGCTTCTTAGGATCGAACACCAGCATCTTCTCAAGGAGGTCCACGGCCGCAGGATCGGCGTTCTTGAACTTCGAACTGAGGGGTTGCCTTTCTCTCTTGGGCAAGGACTGCACGAATCTCAACGTGTTTTCGCTGCAGATGGTCTCGATCACATCCTGCGGAGGGGTTCCAAGCAGTTCGGTGATGATGGAGAATTGGTTGACATGGTCTTTGCCTGGAAACAATGGTTTGCCTTCCAGCATTTCGGCGAAGATGCAGCCAGCACTCCAGATGTCAACTTCGACATCATACTTCTGCCAGGTAAGCATGATCTCCGGGGCTCGGTAGTACCGGGTCGACACGTAACCCGTCATTTGGGGATCTTGGATCCGAGCAAGCCCGAAATCGCAGATTTTGAGGTCGCAGTTCTCGTTGACGAGAATGTTGCTGGGTTTCAGATCTCGGTGCACCACACCGGCCGAATGAACATATTTCAAGCCGCGCTGCACGTGATTGTTAGTGACCCTCGTGGACCGGATAGAACTTCCGGGTGATCGGCATACCAGAATCTGATAAAGGAAGTACTGGATAAATTGCTTCTCGAGCGGTCTGGAAGTCAGGAGACGGTGAAGGTCCGTGCCCAGAAGCTCCGTCACAAAATAGCTGTGCCCAAAGTCAGCATCTAGGCGAGTGAGGGGGGGTACCATGTTTCGGCATACATGTCTTCCAGTGGGGAGATAAAGATGTCACTGAGAGAGATGACCTGCTCAATTAGCATCGTGAACATTATCGGTACGGTCTGGCTCACATTTTCGTGCCGGAGATGCTTCAACAACTTCAACTCTCGATAAGTGCGTTTTGCCAGGACTGGTGTGGAGAAGGGCTTCATGATCTTCTTGACCGCGACAGACTGGCCAGTCAACTGGTCCTTCGCAGAGCTTGATGATTGTCAACGCGTGTTCTATCGCTCTTCAGCGGCACCAGTGCTCACCAGACAAGTCCGAAAGCTCCCATGCCAACCGGTTGTAGATCGGTGTACCTTGTCACGAGTAAATCAATTGGGCATCCCAGCATTCGAATTCAAGTCCTCTGTACCTGCTCGTGATCTCGAAGGTCGTCCCAAAGATCTGGGCTCGCACGAACTCCGCCATTTTGTGAGATGTTCAAAGTAGAAGCCAGCGGCAGCCAGTTGAAGGACGAAAAAGATACGTGGTCGTGGGACGCTGAGGTTGTCGGAAGTGATCGCGGTGGGGAGGCGCAACCTGGAGTGAAGAGCTACTCGCTTGCCGACGAGGTCGAGGCAGGAGAAAGAGAAGAAAAGAGGATGATAGATTGACGGTGAGGGTGCCGGTACTTTGGAAACTGGGAAGACGTTTCAGATGGTCCTGCGTTGCAGTTAGAGATCAAGTTGTGAAAGGACCACGGCGGCTGGGAGCCACGAACCTCTGGCTCAAGCGCGAGTGGCGCCAGCAGGTGTAGGATGAAAAATTGCTACTCGGACGAGGCGAGTGACTTGGTACGGGTGGCCAATGTCACGAACCGTCAACAGAGCTTTCATGTGCTTTGGGACGAGGAGCATGCAAGAAGAACTCTGAGGAGGCAGCGAGCAGCGTGGGGCAACTCAGGTCACCACCTATTCCGATGGTTACTAAGGCTCTGTGTTCGCTGGAACGGGCTTAGGCGGACTGCTTAGGGCACTGCGCTGCCGCTTGGAAAGATGACGATCTCATACGGAGTACTGGGACTGGCATGCCCATCACGATTCTCGGTAGGCGGTGGGATAGAATCCCGGTGGTCCACAGTTCTCCTTCAGTAACTTGCCCCTCGATCGGGCGATCCGATCCCCTTCCAACCTTCCTTCAGCCGCTCGAACTCAGGCTGCCCCGGGTAAGCTCTTCTTGTGGGCGCAGGCACCTCCGGAACCATACTCCGGACACGGCTTTGGCTACGAGGTACAAGAGCAGCTCACTCTTCCATGGGTCACTATTTTTGACCACCTCACGGTTCCAGCGCCGCGGCTGTTCAGTTTTCACCGCGACTGCCGCGCCACCAGGCACGGCTCGCCACAACTCATCTTCCAGCTGGAGCGTGGCCGGATAAATCATCCAGCCAGTTTTGGCAGGCTGCACAGAGGATGCTCCTTCACCACGATTCCGGACTTCTACTTAGTCAGATCTCGTATCATTCCGATCGGTCGTCTCACGGATCGTCACACCGCTGGAACAACCAAAAACGCCTTGTCAAGCGAGCCACGCGTAAAAGGTGTGAACCACTGATAGTCTCACCTTGTTGGTAACTATGCAACCTCCTGTCCAGACTCAGTCTTCTACACGCAGCGAGCTGTCGTTGTCCTGAATATCAACAGATTTGATTCATGCGTGCGCTCCTCAGTGATTCCGGATGTTCCTTTCTTCGGCAATGACCAGTGAGGGCGCATCTATCTCAGGAGCCGAATTCCCAAGATCCGATCTGCTAGTACTCATGGTGATCTGACGGCCTGGTTGTTTCTGATCAAGCTGCGTGAGAGATGTGATATGCCTATACCCGAACTGCTCGCGGATTGATCAAGCCACTCTCTTGTACCGCGTCCCTCCCAGTCCTTCTTCTCGTGACGAAAGTCTTATCATGACATACGCCATGGGAGGGATAATCTTCAGTACAGACACCTTTCTCAATGGAGCCACACTCGTCCGGTTGGAGCTCACGTGCACATACAGAACCTAAGAAGATGTCTCCATGCGACTGAGTAGAACACCCAGATATGCCTCCACCACCGGAGTTCAATAATGATGTTTCACAGTTGGCCTTAAACAAGAGCGTGCCTGTGGCAATGACTTACGTTTCAATTCCAGCCCCCTGCTCGCTCCTGTTGTTGCACAGTTCCGCCTCGTGAGGACGATTGATCGTCGCATATCCCTGAAGAGTGTTTCGCGGCCGAACGCGTTATGACAACAGCGCCCTTTCCCAAGAGCCCAAGTTGTACGTCCGGTGACGTTCATAGAGCCGTCGTGTTGTCGAGGCTCATGTTGGTGCAATATCTTTTTCGAGCACGCAGGTGGCAACTCCAGAGCTTGAGTTATGATCCCCGTCTTGGGAGGAGACACCGCAATAATTGTATGTGGACCAGCCGCAAGACCAAGAACAGAAGGAAAAGATAATTCCGCGAAGGTGTAACCCTGCGTGCCCAGGCCCAGACCCTCGGAGATTTCCCATGGGTACTTGCCCCTAAGTTGGAATGCATTGTTTCCTTTTGCTGCTTGTGATGTGCACTGCTTGACGATTGACTTTCTGAGAAAAGACGGCCGGACAGGAGCTTCCCACCTCGAGCGTGGTTAAGAGACAGGCCTCCATCAAGGCAGGGAAACCGACAGAGCGTCCTGGTGCGTATGAGGAAGTCTCTCCTGTTCGGGAAGCCCAGGAACCCAGAGAGGGCTAATCCCGCCCTCTTCCCGCGGTGCCTGAATACCTACTCAGTAGTGTTAGCCAGGCGGATACCGAGCTATGGAGTAACACCATTTTTGCTTCTGGCTCGGAGAATTGAGTGATCATGAGGCATATCATGTGTCATCTCCAGGAGCGTAGTGATGACATGGGCGGCAGAGACTCTCTCAAGCTATTTCTACTTTCCAGGTCGAGGACGCCGCGCAGCGACACGTCACTCGAGTCGATCGAAGCGGGCACTGACCGGACAAAAGAGGACTACGACTCGTGTGCAACGGGACGAGGAGCCTCGGAGCGAGTTTGCGACAACTCACACTGCACTATGCAGGCGTAATTGGTCAAGCGTTCGCCTATATCTGGCCCTCGAATCGCCCTGTGCCGGCACGTTCTAAGACACGGCGGAGGGCAGTCACGGCGGTCCTACCAAGGAGAGACACTCGAATGCAATAAGAACCAGCGAGATCAAATAGTCCATGAATAATGCGAGTCAAAGATAAAGCGCCCGACGGTATTCAGTAAGCTACTGGCCGCTACGAGTCTATGTAGCCCAGCTTTCCCGCTCTCGGCTACTCCGCTTAGCCCTTCGAGAGTGGCTCTGGCACCTGGCACTGGCACGAGGCAAACTCGCTCTCTCCACGATTCCCGTTCGTCCCTCTCGTCAGCTATCCACTGCCACTGCCACTGCTCCTGCTGCTGTGCTCGTCCGTCTCTCTGCTTCCACCCTACCGTCTCGGCCTCTGGCGCACCGTTGCGGTGAGGCAGCAGCAATATCCTGATACATCCCTGTGCATATACCTCTCCCAGCTATTCCCGTGCTCGGCCAGTCTGGCGAGGCCGGCATTCGTTGCCCTTCTTTCGAGGCGTTCCAGTCGAGCTCCACAACCAACTGAATCCTGGTCTCGGCCCCGTCCACCCATCACCAACATCAACGAGGTCATCGACGCCCTCCGCTACCACCACCCGCGCACACATCCCTCGACCCCTCGGCTTTCTCCCTCGCGCTCACGGTGCATCGTCCGTC